CTGATTTCAAAGCTTATTATAAGGCTACAATAATCAAAACAGTGTGGTACTGGCATAAAGACAGACATACAGAACATGGAACAAAATATAGAGCCCAGAACTAAGCCCTTATATATACAGTCAAATGATTTTCAACATGGGTGCCAAGACCATTCAATGGTGGAGAGGACAGTCTGTTCAACAAATGGTTCTGGGAAACCTGGACACACAGCACAAGCAAAAGAATAAAGTTGGGCCCTTATCTTACTCCATGTACAGAAATTAACTGAAAATGGATCAAAGACATAAATGTAAGACCTAAAACTACAAAACTCTTATGAGAAAACATATGGGAAAAGCTTCATAACATTGGATTTACAATGATTTCTTAGATATGACACTTAAAGCACAGGGAACAAATGTAAAAACAGACTACATTAAAATTAAAAACTTCTATGCATCAAAGGACACAATCAACAGAGTAAGAAGGTGACCTATGAATGGGAGGAACTATCTGCAAATGATGCATATGATTAAGAGTTAATATCCAGAATGTATAAAAGAACTCCTACAACTCAACAACAAAAATTAAATAACCTAATTTATCAATGGGAAAAGAATTTGAATAAGCATTTCTCCAATGAAGATATGCAAGTAATCAACAAGCACATGAAAAGATACTCAACATCATTAATTATTAGAAAAATGCAAACCAAAGCCACAATGAGATATCACCTCACACCCATAGGATAGCTACTATCAAATAACCAGAAAAAAAATGTTGACAAGGATGTAGAGAAATTGGAAACTTTGTGCACTGCTAATGGGAAGACAAAATGATGCAGCCACTATGGAAGATAGCATGGTGGTTCCTCAAAAAATTAAAAATATAATTACCATATGATCCAGCAATTCTACTGTTGAGTATATATCCAAAAGAAATGAAAGCAAGGACTCAGAAAGATATTTGTACACCCATGTTTGTAGCAGCATTATTCACAATAGCCGAGAGGTGAAAGTAACCCAAGTGTCAATCAATGGATGAATGGATAAACAAAATGCCATATATATGAGGGTACTTCAAAAAGTTAATGGATATATGGAATTAAAAGATAATGCTAAAAGAGGGGGGAAAAAGATAATATGAATCTTTCCATGAACTTTTTGAAGACCTCTCATACATATAATAGAATATTATTCAGCCTTAAAAAGGAAGAAAATTCTGATGCATGCTACGACATGGATGAAACTAGATCCTCTTTTTCATTATGCTAACTGAAATAAGCCAGACACAAAACACAGGTACTGTGTGGTTCCACTCATATGCTGTATCTAGTGTAGTAAAATTTGTAGAAACAGAAAGTAGGATGGTGGTTTCCAGGGACTGGGAGGAGGGGGAAATGGGAAGTTGTTTAATTCGTATAGCATTTCAGTCTTGCAAGATAAAAAACAGGTCTGGAGACCAGTTGCACAACAATGTGAATATTCTTAACATTACTAAACTGTACAATTAATTATGGTTAAGAAAGTAAATTTTATGTTATATGTATTTTACCATGATTTTTTTTAAAAAGACACTCCTAAGAGGGTAGAACTTGAGAAAATATTTGCAATTTACACATCTGAAAAAAGGACTTGTATTCATAATATATGCAGAGCTCTCAAAACTCAATAAGAAAATAAACAATTCAACAAAAAATGTATGAGATTTGAACAGACATTTCACCAAAGATAGACAAATGTCATATAAGCATACGAAAATATTCTCAAAATCATTAAATATTAGGGAAATGTAAAAATGCAAATTAAGCCACAAAGAAACACCACTTCACATGTATTAGAGTATGTGAAATTAAACAGACCGCCCATTCCAAGTGTTGGCAAGAATACAAGAGGTCTTCAAAAAGTTCATGGAAGGGGCCGGCCCGGTGGCGCACTGGAGGGTGCGCCGCTTGGGAGCGCAGCGGTGCTCCCACCGAGGGTTCAGATCCCATGTGGTGACCGGTTCCCGCTCACTGGCTGAGCGCGGCGCGGGCGCAACACCGAGGGTTGCGATCCCGTTGCCGGTCCCCGGTATGGGCACGACACCGAGGGTTGCGATCCCGTACCGGTCAGTAAAAAAGACAAAAAAGGAAAAAAAAAAGTTCATGGAAGGATTTGTATTATCTTTTGATTCCAGTTTCCCATGAACTTTTGAAGTACCCTCACATAAAACAACTGGAACTCTCATGCACTACTACTGGATATGTAAAATAGCACAAATACTTTGGAAAATAGTTTGGCAGTTTCTTAAAAAGTTAAACATACACCTACCATATGACCCAGGCATCTCACACCTAAGTATTTGCCCAGGATAAATGAAAGTATATGTGCAAAAACTTGTACCTGAATTTCATTAACTATCTGTAATAGCCAAAAAACGAAAACAACTCAAATATCTCTCAGTAGGTAAACAGATAAACAAATTGTGGTATATATTCAAACAATGGAATGCCACTCAATAAAAATGAATGATATATGCAACATAGAACAATCCCAAAATAACGATGCTGAATGCCCCCCCCCAAAAAGAACCAGACCAAAAAAAGAACACATACTATAGGATTTCACTTATATAAAATTCTAGAAAATGAAAACTAATCTATAGTGACAGAAAGTAGATGGTTCCCTGAGGATGGGGGGGTGGGAGGAGAGTAGAGATGGGAGGTCAGAGAAAAGAGAGACCACAAAGGGGCACAAAAAATTAGGGGATGACAGATACGTTTGATATCTTGATTGTGATGATGGTTTCATGCATGTATACATGCATCAAAACATAAAATTGTATCATTTAAACCTGTGCAGTTTATTACATGTTAATTATACCTCAATAAATTTTTTTTTTAAAAAACCAAAGAACAATTTGCCTATTAGGCATTTCTCTACAGACCACAGAATTCTTTTTTTGTTTGTTTGTTTGTTATTTTTAGACCACAGAATTCTTAAGGTTTTTTCTGTTCAAAACCTCTACAATCCAATTGGCATATAAGGGGTTAACAAAAGTATAGTCCCTTTCACAATCTCTAAAGAGAGTAGAAAATGTAAATAAGTCATCAGTATAGGTTTCATAACGTCATTTTTTAAAAAGTGAAGCATTACACAGAAGAGAAAAAATATTTATAAAGAATACACAATACCTCAGAACTTTCATTAGTAACAACTAATTTTATAGATCTCTCTGGTAGACTGAGAAGCATCTAAATTATTATTTATATTACTATTTGCTCCCATAAAAAGAAAGCTTACTAGCAATGACGTCATATTTCAAAGGTAAGTTAATCTGTTTAAAAGACAGGATAAATGATATTTATGGTTCAATGATGTAAATATCAATTTTTCTTCCCAAAGTCTATAAGCTTACAAGCCTAATTTCAGACTTTATGGTTCAAACTCAGTGAAAGTAGAGACTCTTGTCTACAGTGTACTGTCTAAATAAGCAAAGAACAGAAAGATTTGAAATGAGAGCCCACACCAAAAACATCATGTTGTCTTTGAGTGAAAAGTGGGAGGAAAGATACAGAGAGCAGCGTGGAAATATAGCTCATGTTTGTACGGATAACCTTTTACTGCTCCCTTCATCCTATCTAGTTATGAATCTCAGCAGACAGAAATATGGGGTATGGCTTGTAAGACTTTGAAATGATTTGCTTTTAGAAAATGCTTTTCTGGGCCGAGCCGGTGGCGCACTCAGGAGAGTGCAGCACTGGGAGCGCAGCAGCACTCCCGCCGCGGGTTCGGATCCTATATAGGGATGACCGGTGCGCTCACAGCACTCACTGGCTGAGCGCGGTGCGGCCGGTCTCAAAAAGTACAAAAAAAAAAAAAAGAAAATGCTTTTCTGCCTAGCACAGAGTAATACCAGTTAATCTGCAAAATGTTTGTTGAACTAAACAGAAAAGAAACAAATAGATCTGTAAAGGCATTTGGTCAGGAGATCAGAATTCTAATTCTGGCTTGACTAGACATTAAACTGTGTAACACAGTTAAGCCACTTTATTTCCATTTCTTTATCAGTAAACACACATACACACACACACATAAATTCTAATCAGTAGGTTAAGTGTAAAGGATAGGAAACCTGAAGGATGGGAGATAATTGTATACTCAGGCCAACTTACTCAATGCAATAACTTTTTAGTGAGTAGTCTCTGTCTCCCAGAAACTGTCAGATGATTGAGATACAAAGATTAATGAGGGGTTTGGTCTCCACTTCAAAGAGAGCATTAAAAAAAAGAAAAGAAAAAAAATGCCCGCCTTGAAGAACTGACAATGCAGCTGATGAAACAACTAAGACACAATGAACCACAACTACCACTGACTTTGGTAAGCTCAAGTGCAATGGGAGCACTCAGAAAGAAACACCACTGCTAGCTCTCTCACTCAAGTTAGAGAAATCTCTCTTGTATATGGAAAACCATGAGGACTTTACACAGAATGTTCCACCAGAACAAGCAAAATGCAAGAGACTGGATTTTAATAGAGTCTAACCTAAGTTTGTTAATTTCTCGATAATTATAATCAGCAACTAATTACACCTCAAAGATAATCTAGGCCAATCTGAATATAATCTTTACAGTTACAGAAACACAAAAATATGAGACATCTTATTGAAATGATTACACACAGTATTTTTGCAGGATTCTAAAACTAGCAGAAATCTATTTTTTTCTTCTAAAACTGTATTTCAATTTTATGTATTGATTTTGTTAGAAAACATTGCTAGTTATAATTTATTTAACATATGCTTGGCCTACTATATTTTAAATAAAACTCTTCACACAGGCAAAATGGAAAGTAGTGTTATATGTACATAAAAATTTAAATATTAACAATTTAACCAAGTTCACTAGAATCTTTTTGGTTCGTTCTCCATTCAAAGCAGAGCATTTTTAAAAAAGAAAAGAAAATGTAATGTATGAGTGTGTATGTGGGAGAGACGAGGATAGGAGAGTTTCTTCCAGACTTCCTATTGAGGTACTTACAGTGCTGATCACAATCAACTCTGGCAAACACTACTTGATTTGCATTTGGATATTCTTCCTTAATGACATCGGAAGCTTCCTCAAAAATTGGATGCAACATCTGGCTGAAACGACACCTATACATAGAAAAGGATACCAATTAGGTAGTAAAATCTTATTTCAGTTATCACCCACTGATATTTAGTATATGTACAGTAAAGAACCTTGTAAAACAATCATACACTTAATCATGGATCCTGATATCATTCAAGGGAGATGAAGACAATTTTGAATTCAAACACTGTAGTCAAATTCAAAGACTGTATAAATAATTAAAAGATTTCTTTTTTTCTTTTTTTTTTTTTACTTTACAATAATTGCCAGTCTTATATAGCACGCAGCTAAGGATCTCTTGCAGAAGTCATGAAACAATTATGAAATAAGCCCTCTAACATGTACTACTAGGACTTGTAACTACTGAGGCTTGAGCGTTCATATTAAAAATTAGCTTTCTCTAAATAACGAATATATTTTTAGACTACTTTCAAGTTTATTGTGAATATTAGACTGATACACCTGGCTAGTTCAATCAAATCTCATAGGCAAGTTAGGATTCTAAATAAATAAGTTGTATTAAAAGGATATATAGTATATAACAAACTGTTTCCTCTCAAAATTTACCCCTATAAAATGGGCTTTTGTATCTGCAAACACACTAAATATACTAAGTTCAGAAGCAAAGATTTTAAATTCCCAATCAAGACTTCCTCTCTCTCTCTCTACGTATATATATATTTTGTACTTTAAAAACAGGACACAAACCCCACAATATTTTATCCAGACCACTTCTCACTTCTAATTCTGACTGTCCCTTAATCAGGCCAACCACTTTACAAACACAGGGGGTTGTGGGTCATTAAAGGAACCTGATAAGAAGAAAAACAATCGGAATCAGGATACAACCAGCTGAGTTAGAATGGTCATTCTCACATGGAAAAGGAATTGTGGATATGTTAGCAAATTAAAATTGCTACTTTCACTTCCAGAACCCTTTTCAACAAGAAATTTACTTAAATGAAGCCTGTGAACTCTTTAATCCACATGTGATTAGGTCATACATATTAGCTATAACCCAATAAAAATACTGTAAAGCCTGTGAAAGGATGCAAACATTATACGTCTACCCTATTCTTCTTGTATATATCTCTTCTTGCCCACTCACCTGACTTCCTAAGGAGATGTCCTAGAATATATCAAGGAGACACAATCTGTATCTTCAATCTCTTGCTTTCAATGTGGTTCCTTCCTCAAAGCATTCTTATATTTCTCCCATCTGGGATAGGTGGGTGGGGTCTGTGGATATCATGGACCGTGTCTTATTTGACTATGTATTCTAATAAGCATTCAATAAATGTCTGTTAAATGAATAAACTGATAAAATGGAGGAAATGAAGAGGCTAGGACCAGGTTTGTGGGTTCATACAGTTTGCTGAAAACAGGATGGCTGGAGGGTGGGAGTAGCAAGGAATAGCAATTAATAGTTCCTTGAAGGGCCGGCCCGGTGGCACACTGGAGAGTGCGCCGTTTGGGAGAGTGGCGGCGCTCCCGCCGAGGGTTCGGATCCCATGTGGAGACCGGTTCCCGCTCACTGGCTGAGCGCGGTGCGGGCGCAACACCGAGGGTTGCGATCCCGTTGCCGGTCAGTAAAAACGACAAAAAGGAAAAAAAAAATAGTTCCTTGAAGCATTTGGATAGTAAAAAATTAGTGGATGTGTTTCTGGCTTAAGGGCAAAGTAAAGACACACATCAAGGGCTCCTTCTCTCTGGAATGTCCAGTTTGCTGTTCAGTAAGTATTTAAGCCTAGGTTCATGTTTAAAATAGATCACTTTTAATACCAAAAGTAAAAGGGGAAGATGAAATAAAAGTTCAATTCCAATATTACTGTACCTTCATACATATGTATCCACACACATGCATGTTACATTTATAAAAGTAACATCACAAAAGCAATAAATCTATTAAAAGGGCCTTAGATCATCTGAACCCAATCTCCAATCTAAATGATTTAAGTGCTTAAATCAGTCCTTAGCAAATTAACCAAATAGATAAAAGTCTTTGCACAGACATTTGGGGGGTGCTTACTAATATGACCTAGTGGGGTTAAAAAATAAGCTTTAGAGGCAGACATATCTGCGTTTAAATCCCAGTTCTACCACTTACTAGCTAGCTGTATGACCTTTTCTGAGCCTCCATTTCCTCAACCTAAAATGGAATTACAATACCTACCTGCAGGGCAATTTTCAACATTAAAAACAATGTATATAAAGAGTCTGGCACATAACAACATTATTATGCACCTACTATGGTTTATTACTCTCTGTGGCAGAGTAGTATTTTGGGGCAGCTCTATTAGAGAATTGTTAAACATCCATAACTTCCAGAGGGAATTCAAGAGTCTATCCTTTGAGGCCACACAGCATAAGTCTATATCCTACAGCCAATTACTCACGTTTTTTCAGCTGAATAAGAGAGTACTAATTCATGAACAACTCGAGAATTCCTTAGTTTTCCCAAATAACTGAAATTATTCCATATTTCCAATTCGGTTTTTGTAAAAGGGTTGGTAGCATGTTCTATTTCTCTTTCTTAAAACACAGAAAATCTGGCGCGGCCCCATGGCTCACTCGGGAGGGTGCAGTGCTGGTAGCACTGAGGCCACGGGTTCAGATCCTATATAGGGATGGCTGGTTCGCTCACTGGCTGAGTGTGGTGCTGACCACACCAAGCCAAGGGTTACGATCCCCTTACTGGTCCAAAAAAAAAAAACACACACAAAATCTCTCAGTCAAGAGAACTGCATTCTAGTTTTTTCTCTGTCACAATCTAATCAGGTAACCTTGGGACAGTACTCTACTCCTCTGGGTTTCAGTTTTCTTCTTATTATTTTTTTTTAAAGATGACTGGTAAGGGGATCTCAGCCCTTGGCTTGGTGTTGTCAGCACCATGCTCAACAATTGAGCTAACCGGCCATACCTATATAGGATCCGAACCCATGGCCTCAGTGTTATCAGCATCGCACTCCCCTGAGTGAGCCACGGGCCGGCTCCTCAGTTATCTTAAAGTGGATTTAAAGTGGACTAGGTAATTGTCTATCAAAGTTTGTGACTTATTACATCTGGACAATCCTAATTTACCTTGAGAAATGGTACCTTTGCTATACATGTTATAAATGGTATTTTCTCTTTAAATATCCATACCATGCACACATACATACATTCAGTATATATTTATTATGTACTTAGCCATGCATTATGCAGAGTGTATGGGGATTAATGCTGAAAAAATATAGCTATGGTAAATATTTTCACAAAGCAAACAATGTAGTAGGGATCCACCAACTAGATCATAGCATACAAGTGCTACGACTATGTAAGTACGGGGTATTATGAGAACTCTATATGAAGGGTTTCTAATCTGACTGGAGAGTAAAGTTAGGTGTATTGAGGGAGGAAGATGACCTGAAGAGAGTGGCATCTAATGTAAGATTTGAAAGATGATTAGGACTTAAGTAAGAAAGTGCATGAAAATGAAGAGTGATCCATCCAGGCAAGGGAAATATCACTAGCGGTCCAGTGATGAAAGAGTACAGAATTTTACAGGAATTGAAAGAATTCAGTATGACTGGTGCAGAATACGGAGTGGAGAGAGTCAAGAGATATAGTTGTTGAGAAGGAAGGACCAGCTCAGGAGCCTTTTAGGCCAAGGTAAGTGACTTAAACTTAAACCCAAAGGTAATGAAAAACCACTTAAGGGCTTTAAGATGAGGTGTGAACTAATTTAATTTGCACTGTAGGAGAGGACTCTGGCTTACACTGTAGAGACCAGAACAGAAATACGTAAGACTAGAGGCACAGAAAATAAATGAGGAGACTGTTATAGGAATCCAGGTAAATTTCAGGACTGGCCTTGTGATATTTTATATATCTATACCTATATCTATATCTATCTATATCTATATCTATTTATATCTATCTATATCTATTTATCTATATCTATATCTATCTATATCTATATCTATGTATATATATCTATATCTATATCTATATTGAAAAACCAGGCCTTATTGGGTTTCCCCACTCAGTCTATAAGTATTAGATCGAAACTTCCTTGTCCAATCACATTTCTACATGGTTGTCTGTGCCTCAACCATGCCTATGTAATGAAGCTTCCATTAAAACCCAGAAGGACAGGGCTCAGGGAGCTTCCAAATAGCTAAACACGAGGAGGTTCATATGGGGGGCACACCCTGGGAAGGTCACGGAAGATCCACACCCCTTCCCCATACCTCGCCCAATGCATCTTTCATCTGCATTCTTTGTAATATCCTTTCTAATGAGCTGGTAAACGTTAAGTAAGTATTTCCCTGAGTTCTGTGAGCTCCTCAAGTAAATTAATCAAATCCAAGGAGTGGGTCATGGGAAACCCAATTTATAGCTAGTTGGTCAGAAGCACAGGTAAAACTACCTGGGGCTTCTGACTGGCATGTGAGGTGAGGGCACTACTGTGGGACTGAGCCCTCAACCTGTGTGATCTGATGCTATCTCCAGGTAGATAATATTGGAATTGAATTAGAGGACACCCAGCTGGTGTCGGCTGCAGAAATGATTGCCTGCTTGCTGGTGGGGAGAAATTCCCACACATCTGGTATTAGAGGCATGTTGTGAGAGTATAGTAGGAGAAACTGAGTTTGTGATTTTTCCACTCGGGCCTGAAGTAGAGTAGTGGCAGCTAGTATGTAGTAAGCCTTAAAGGGTCAAATAAGATACAGCCTGTCTAGAAATAAAGATAGACCAGTGTTTCAAACTTCTCTTCAGCTATATCTCCCTTCTTCCTATCTCCATGCCACATTCTTCAGCATTTACTATGTATCATGTTTTTGTTCTAGATGCAGGGAATACTGAGTAATATCTCTGCCCTCAAAGTTTGTTTGCTAGGGCACAAACAAATATAAAAAGACAAAATACAGTCAGAAAAAAAAAGTGGTACATAAAAAACTATACAAACAGAATACAGGATCTGTTTCAGTCAGAGCAAAGGAGCAAAGGCTTCCTAAGGCAGATTGTATAAGTTGAAAAATGTCAACATATTTTTCCTTCTAAATTTGTGACCTCCAAACACTGCTCTCCTTCCACAGTCAGGACAAATACAGAACTGCAATATTTATTCTTTTTGTTGTTGTTGTTATATTTGAGTTTTTATGTTACCTATTTTTTTATTGTAAGATGTGGGGTAATAGAACTAGTTACATTTCTCTCTTAAAACAGAAATCCTCACCAAATTAGGCTGCTTCATTTGTGGATGAACCTTAATTGATTTTGTGTATAAAATACTGTCTTGCAATAGAAAAAGATTTCCCACCCACCCCTTTCTAGCAAAGTAAAATTCATCTTTAGGCAAGTTAAAAAAAAAAAAAAAACTTAATGATACGAAAAAATAAACCCCAAAATAAAACAAAATAAAAAGATTACTCACCAGTCAGCATAAAAATTTACTAAAGCAACATCAGCATTGTCTGAAATTGAAAAACAAAAACAAACAATTCAAGTTATTTGTGTCTACATAATTTTGACATAATTAAAGATATGCTTTTCATCATTCTCTTTTCCCATTATAAGGGCCCACTAAAAGTACACAACAACAATTAAGTTACCTCTCACTCAGAAATGCATATATAGAGTCATGTAATTTGTGAGAGCCCCTGTCCCTACCCTCTATATCCATCCATCTTAAGACCTTCATTGCATCTTATCTACTCTCATGAAAAGGGAAGTGAAATGATCTGGATTGTACTAATCCATTTTTTTATTTTCCCTATTCATAAATAACTGAGAATTAGTCCTGCAAGTTAAATCCTATTTCATGGAAGAAACCTGTATAACTAAATTATTTCTAAATCTCAGATGTCTCACCGACATCTCCCTCCCTCCTCCCTCTCTCCCCTCCCCCCCAAGAATGTCCTTTCCGTTTGCTTGTTGTAACAACTTCATGGAAGTATAGTTGTAACGGGCCATAATAATCATATACAGTGTATATTGACAAAATAAAAAAATAAAATAAAATAAAAATAAATAAATAAATAAATAAATAAATAAATAAATCTCAGATGTCTCATAGTTGCAACAAGTAATCTACAACTAACAGTGTTGCACAAAATGAACTTTTTCTGGTTCCTACCCATTTAACAGTTATTCTCTGTTGCAAAAATAACTTAGTGTCATTTGCATATGAGGAGGTGAAGACATGAGAAAGATGTACCACTGTTTCTTTTGCCTAAACCTAATTCAGAGAAACTTAAAACTCTTCAAGCACTCATGAAAATAAAACACAAAGATATTTTAGAATTTGGAAGATGAAAGAAGAATAACATGTGAGTTTCAATTCCCTTCTTCGCTTTTTACCTTCAAAGCACTTTTTATCCACTTGCTTATCCACTTAAGCAGTGGTTCACAAACTGTGGTTTCTGGACCGGAAGCACCAACATCACCTAGGAAATGTAAATTCTTAAGTGTGGTCTAGCAGTTTCTATCAGAAACTGTGGGTAGGGCCTAGCAGTACAGATATTAATAAGCCCTCCAGGTGATTCTGATACATGCTAAAGTTTATACAACCACTGCTCTAAAGAGATCCTATAAGATGGGAATAGACTTTTTAGCATTTAAAGTTCCAGGAACACAAAACAATGTATGGTGCTCAATGAATTATTATAATTCCTTTTACCTCTACAACTTTTGGTTTTGTTATGCACAAACCAGTGGATGACGTATTTTTTTTAAAAAAGCAATCATTTATACACATTGTACATTTTCTTAAAGCTCCTATATTGTGATTTTCTATCAACCCCATCTTCACCTTTCCTTTACTATTTTTAAAAATAAGAAATAGTTTCTCCCAAGTTAATTGTATCTACATTAACATTGTCAACAAACAAAGCACTCAGTAAAACAATTATTAAACTTAATTGGATCGATGACAGTAAAATAGAACAGTGTAGGTAATTTAAAGTAAAAAAAAACCACAAAAATTTCTAGGCTGTGTCCTAAGGTCATTAACATTTAGTACTACACTGCAGGAACTGTTGGCCTCTAAGTAGGCTTCAGTGAAATACTTTATGAATTGTTAAGAAAAGAACCTACATCGAGGCAAAGAAATAAAAAAGACTGAAAGTATTACCTTACTTATAACACAGAAAGGAAGACTTACACATTTTAAGAAATTTTAGTAAAAATCAAAACCAAAAGTGTTTTGTTAATTCAGTAAGCCATGGAATTAATCAGAATGCCAGTTCTTCAACTATTCTAGGTAACTGAGATTTTATTGTGTTTTTATATATAAAATAACTCTTTATAGAGAAGAAAGTATACTTTAAAAATACCAAGGTACTTACTTAAAATTTCATCTATATTCTCTGTATCGAGACTTGTTATTTCAGTTGTTACAGGAGTAAAAACCCAAGTTACCTGAAAATGTAAAAAATGCGATATTAATAAATGTTTCCACAAAAGGCAAATAAAGCAGAAAGTCTAAAAAAAAATTAACGAAAGTCTGTTCTACTTGTTACCTAGAAAATCATCCATCAACTGTTTTTAATCTTTATTACCTATTCTACCCCTGCACTAGATCACTGAAAGAGAAATATTAACTTCCTAGAAAATGGTCAAACAAGGCTTCCTATACTTCCAAATATATAAAAGAAATTGTTTCTAAACAATTTTTTAAAGTGAGAATTTACTCACCCTTTTAAATCAATACTTTCAACAATTTTATCTCTACAGTGCTACAAGAAAAAATTTGCCAGATTATCAGTTTTCAAAGTATTAATACAAAACCAAAGCTAAGTTTGCTGATTCTATCCCACCCACCATGTTTTTAAGACAGAACAAAATAATGAAAAAGAATTGAAGAAAGACTTTTGCAAACTGTAAACCAAAAACCCTACCTGCATCATTGTAACTTACTAGAGATAAAATTGTATTAAGTGAGAGGCTATTAAAAAGAGAATGATTTTGCTTCCACTTTAATGTATCTGAAATCCAAAGTTCAAGTTTATCAAAGAAAATCTCAGCCTGTCATCAGCAAAACCAAGAAAATATAAAATTTTAAACTAAACTAGCAAATGTTTACTTATTTTATAATATTTAGTGAATTTTATTTTTAGGTTCCATTCTTAATACACTTCGTGTTTGCTGCCTGGTTTAAATTAATTATTTGCAAATCTAGTTATAGAAACAAGGAAGTTAGTAAATTCAAAAGCAAGTAGACTGAACAATATCCTGGCAAGGGTTTATAAATATATGTAGTGAACTTTTATAAAGCAGGAAAATGATAACAAGCAAAATTCAGATCAATTTTAAGGCTATATTTCTTTATATTTTATGCACTTGTTATCATTGTAAGATACATACTACAAAATAGGTATTTTTATTCATTTCACTGCCTTGCTCAATGGTTTTCTTGTAATTGGTGATAGTATTATGGAACAAGATATCACATCCTGTCTTTCCTTGACATATCTATCCATGTAACTTTGTCCACTTTACTTTTGGATACTGGATTGAGTTTCATTTTCATCATATATAGAGAGAGAGAATTGCAGATTTTAAAATCAATTTAGACTTAGAAAGTTAAGCCAGTCTTTTAATTAAATAGGACTCAATAATCTATAACCATGATAAAAAAATTGTGATTTAAAGCTATATATAAAAAAGTATTTATATAAAGTATAAATAAAAGTATATAAAGTATTTATATACTTTATAAAGTATGTAAAGTATTTATATAAAGTATATAAATACTTATTTTGACACCATATACTTTTAAGTAGAAAAATTTTAGTGTCAAGGTGCACATTTCTTGTGTAAGTTATTTTGTTCTTCCCTCCCTAGATCAGAAGGAAAGGAATATCCCTATTTCTGAAGACACAGAGATGCCAAGAAGAATATGAACAAACAGGCTTTGCTAAGTCCTCCCCTACCCCAGTTTATAATTACATCATACCCCCTTTTGTCCAATTACACTTCTATATGACAGAACTCAACCCAAGCATAAAAATAAACAGTTTTCCCTGTTTCTTTGGGCCTAAAGGCTTCCCTGTCATGTAAAACTTATATTACATAAATTTGTATGGTTATCTCTTGTTAATCTGTCTTTTGTTACAAGAGTCTCAGCCATGAACCTAGAGATGGGTTAGGAAAGAAATCTTTTCTACACTACCAATATCTCAATTACAGATCCTTCCCTTATAAAGACAGTCAGCTCTCCTTATCTGTGGGTTCCGCATCCATGTTTTCAAGCAACCACAGATCAAAAATATTTGGAAAAAAAACTGCATCTCTAAACATGTACAGACTCTTTTTCTTGTCATTGGTCCCTAAACAGTATACTATAACAACTCTTTACACAGCATTTACATTGTACTAGGTATTATAAGTAATCTAGAGATGATTAAAGTACAAGGGAGGGTATTCACAGGTTATATGAAAATATTATGCTATTTTATATCAGGGACTTGAAGATCCACGAATTTTGGTACCCATGGAAGGTCCTAGAGCCACTCTCTTGTGGATACTGAGGGATGACTGTATACGACCACCTCTAGATGACTGTGGAAACCAATTACATTGGTAGAACAAGATTTTACAGTTGTGTATCGAAGAAAAACTCAAGAAGACAGAAAAACATTATCACAGAGCAAGCAATAAAGTTGGTCATTATCAAAGTCAAGTCATTAAATAACTGAAGTCAACCAGTGTTTACAGAGTGTCTAGTAGGTATTGAGGTACAGACGCATAAGGCATGGTGTGCTCTGCCTCAAAGAGCTCTCATACTAGTAGTGGTGGTAAAGAGGGGAGAAAAATGTGATAAATGCAAGACTACAGGCATTATAATGACCTTCAGGTGTATAATCCAAGGGAGCCCACTTTTGAAGAGTTAGTTATCACCTATCAAATACATGTTTACAGAGAATATATATTTAAATTCTAAATCTAATTGCTTTTTACTCTGAAATATTTACATGGCAAAAACATTTAAATGCTAGGTAATGACAAAAATGAGGCAACGATCGATTTGGCTATATTAAATAGGTAACTATTGCTTTAAAAAAACACTGTGCTAATAAATATGCAAACTGGTAAGAGTGGTATTCAGCTAACAGTTGTGTTTGTTAAGAAGGCCTAAAACAAGAAAACTGTCTTCTGACCCTATCATCTCTCTTCCCGGTAAGGTGGTTTTTCCTATCATCATTAACGTTTCTATTAATATGCAGAATGGCCATGAAAAACAATTACACTGTATAATGTCGAATACACTAATTAATCTGATTTGAGCATCGCATATTGCACACAGGTATTGACATTCAACTCTGTACCCTACAGATACGTACAATCAACTATTTTCAATAATAATAAAACAATGCAGAATGAAGGAAGACAGCTTGTTTATTTGAATTGTTAGCAAGCTCCACTAGTCTGACAAATTGTTTCTTTTCATGTCAGCCCTGGGCAGAAACAAGATTCTCCTGGGGAAACATCTTTATGTGTCAAATGCTATAATGCTTAAGAAAAATAAAGACAAGTAGCTCCAGACCAGGAAGGGCAGATGAGAATCATTAATTTCTTTTTTATATTTAGACTTGAAAAAAAACTTTTAAATTTATTTTTTTTTTAAATTATATGCAAATTTCTATTTATTTATTTTTGGCACCTGGCTGTAATTAGGGGATCCAAACCCTTGACTTTGGTGTTAAAACACCCTGCTGTAACCAACTAAGCTAACAAGCCAGCTCCCTTATATGGAACTTTTTCATAGAAGGTCTTACTAGTCATGGAGAATATAGCCTCTAATGATGAAATATTTAGACAACACATATAAATATGTACATATAAATTTTATGAAGTACTTTATAACTTGGTCATTATCTTCAATTCATTAGCTCATTTTCTTGCCAAGAAAGCAAAGAAAGGCATTTCCAGTCATCTTCCATAATCCATTAGGTCATTCCTCCAGCATGCATTTACTGTACCAACCATTGAACATTTCAATCTGAGATGCTTAGTGATATGATCTTACGTAAAATGGCAAATGTCACACCCAAATTCATTTAAAAAAAAAAAAATAGCATGATAGACTAGCTTTAAACAGCAGGAGCTTCTTTAGCAAGTTAAGAATGTTTTCTTCCATTAGATGCTTTTTAAAAACTGAGGTACCTTGGGCTGGCCAGTTAGCTCAGCTGGTTAGAGCATGGTGTTATAACACCAAGGTCAAGGGTTCAGATCCCCATACCGGCCGGCCACCAAAAAAATAAATAAAAGTTAAAAACTGAGGTAACTTTGGAAACTTTCCTTTCCTTAAACTTCCCTGTATCATCCTCCATGACCACTTAACTGGCTAGTGATTCCCTCTTTCATGAAGCTTTGTTTGGTTTTCCTGGTAGAAAATGACTTTTATTTCTTAGTAGCCTAACCATGGGATGAGGACAGAAAAAGAAAAAAGTAGGCTAGGCGAATGGGAGATACTGAGAAATGAGGATTTCCTCTAGATTAGGCATCAAGTTGAAACAAGACACAGACAATGAAAAGTTGATTACATGATAAAACTAAGTATTTTAGAAATAAATTTTGGAAATATTTTTTTATTAAGCATTCTCAATGTTAGGTCAAATTTTAATTGTTATAATATTAAAATATATACATGCTTTAACACTAACACACACAAAATACTCTGGAATTTACTGCTAGGCCCCTGTTCTGTTCTTCTTTCAAAAAATCAACAACTGGGCTGGCCAGTTAGCTCAGTTGGTCAGAGTGCAGTATTATAACACCAAGATCACAGATTCAGATCTTGTACTGACCAGCCATCAAAAAAAAAAAAAAAGAATAACTGAACAAGGCACTAATCCAACAGGAGCTTCTTCAGAAGTATGAATTAACATCAATAATAACACATATTGGAAAGGTATTATTAAAGTTTCTCTGTTCATAATTTTTAAAATAAATAAATAAATTTCCTAATACATTAAGACCAGTAGTTACCATATGAATAGATCCTTAATGTGAACTATTATGATACTCTCTAAATTGAATATCTCCCTTCAATCCAACTTGTCCATAGAGGACAGACTAATCTTTCTGAATGCTGCTTTGCATACAACAATTTCTCTGCCAAAACCCCTCCAAAGCCCTCCAAGCATTTTCTGTCTACAATATAAAAGCCTAACTCAAAAGCACAACATTTGGGCCGGCCCGGTGGCGCACTGCTACAGTGCGCTGCTTGGGAGCGCAGCGGCGCTCCCGCCGACGGTTCGGATCCCACATACAGACCAGTTCCTGCTCACTGGCTGAGCAAGGTGCGGGCGCAATGCGAGGGTTGCAATCCTGTTGCCGGTCCCAGCGCGGCGCTCCCGCCGACGGTTCGGATCCCACATACAGACCGGTTCCTGCTCACTGGCTGAGCAAGGTGC